CATAGACAATCGGTGGGTCTACCGGTTTCTCTACAAGTGGCAGTGGAGCTTTTTGACCAGCAACACCAAAGGCCAGTTCTTGCCGGATGAAAGCACTGAAATGAATGAAATGCGACGTGCACATCGCTCGCAGCGCGTCATCGAGGGTGTGCCCTGGAAGATGGTCTTGAACTTTGACCAGCTCTGGCGTTCATCAGTCGAAGCTCCATCAAAAGTCTTACACAAAAGGTCCGCCAAGCAGGCCACACGAGAGGGTGATCAATTTATGGAGGTAAGACCTGATGATTTGATTGGGAAACGGCTGCAGGCTGTGCTGAAGCTTGCAGAAAATGAGATGACCTCAAGGATGGGGCAAGCACCTAAAGCCTCCAAACTTCGAAAGGCAGCTGCACGATCAGAATTTGTCGTGGGTGGCAGAGTTGGTGTCACGGCTGTCACGGCCACGTGGGGGGATGGAACAATTGGCCCTTTAGGGGTCTGCTTGACCACAGGTGCTCTTCCGCGATCAGTTATCCAGGATTACAACAGCAGTTACAAAGGACGTGTTTTCATTTTCGAGAGTGGAACCGAGACCCACTTCATGAATGCAGAGAGCACATTGCTGTACATGCAAGAGCTGTTGGGTCCTGTTTCTTGGAGGGTGTTGAGTATAAAAGCATCATTGTGTTCCTTGTGTGTTTTCTCAGGGGGGCGTATAAAACTGTAGGGTAAATAGAAGATAATCTTATGGTTTCTTCTATATATCTACATAGGTTTTTTGTTCAGAAAGCCTAGACATAGTAAAAAGGCTTTCGAGCTGAGACGCGCAGAGTGTGGCTATAGCAGAGACATCCCTGGTTTGCTCATCGCCGATGGGTTTACAGGAAATTATGCTACCCTGGACAACCAGGATTCCAGGCGATCTTTGTGGTCCAAGCACAACAATGTGATCCTTCCACTCAAACCACCTGGCGGGTGGAGCTGTCATGGACAACCATGTGATGCAATGCATTTCATGGTAAGGAAGCTAGCAAACCTGTGGATTGACCAAGCCTTAGGCCAGGAGGGTAAAATCATCTGGAGGAATTATATAGATATATAATTGTGTAAGATGTTTTAACCATCACTTTCAGAACTTCATTGTAAAGTCAAATAGAAGATATTGTTGAATATAGTTACCTAGTCTACTCAGTCCCCATGTTTGCTTTGAAATCAGAAACTCAAATAGAAGATATTTCTGGAATATTTCCAGGGGCCGAGAGGGATCGGGACTGGGCGGATCTCGGTATTATAGTTTGCAAGCAACATTAGGATGAGAAAGTCCTTCCGGCAGGTTATCGAGATCCAGGTTTGGAACAAGCATCGCGGCCAATTCATCTGGGGCTGAACGGCCAAAAGCATCTCAGCGTCGGTGTGGAGGAGAATGTTAAGGCTTTGATCTACTCATGGCAGGAGATGGCCAACTACAAGCGGCTCCTCCGGTGGAGCTGGACCAGTCGTGGATTGGTCACACCAGATGAGATGAAAGAGCTTCATCCCAAACTCAATGAGGAGGAGAAGAATGAACTTGGAGAAACAAACCCTAGTCCATTCAAGCAGATGGTCCCTGAAATTCCAGCATTGGTTCCGATTCTCATCGAAATTGGAAACATTTCTTCTATTTGACTTGACAAATGTGCTTATTCCGATCGCCAGGGTCAGTGAAACATTTTGGTGCTTTAAGGTTGACCTTCTTTACTTTCACTTTCATACTATTTCATTGTTAGGCCTACCATCGCCGACTCAGTACGGGAGGCATGCCCAGGGCGAACTATCCACGTATGGCAGGTGCAAGATCCGCAGAATGACAGCAACTGGCTGAGCCTACCCATCCTCATGCAGCAACATGCTGACAAAAACTATGCCCAATACCAGGGAGATGTATATGCCGCTAAGAAGCGGTTAGAGATTCATGAGATCACACAGCGCAAGTATGACACCATTGTGGGCAACTCTCTACGCCCATTGGTCCTTATGAATGGCACGGGTGTTCCAGCAACCCAGAAATATGTGAAAGCTCACCTGCAGAAGTGTTCTGACGGCGCCATGAAACTCAAGGTGGGATGCCGACAGAGGTTTGAGGGTCCTATTGGGTTTCCAAATAGAAAAGAGTAATGCCTATCAAATAGAAGATATATAAGATGTATATATATATATACACACTTCCATAGGTGCCTGTTTAAATTCGCAGCAGGATGGCGCGCGATCGACCATCATTTTGTTTGACTTCCTTGAGAAGAAAGTCAAGATTGGTGGGCTAGACTGGTCACCTTTGCGGGTCCTTGAAGTCGAGACCAAATTTGATGGCCTTGAATTGAAAGTGGACAAGTCATTCTTGGAGTCGGTGAGAGTTCCAGGCAAGGTCAAAACAAACAAGCAAACAAACATTTTTGCAATTTTACCAGCCAATGTGGTATTTTCTTCTATTTGAAAATTCTGGCTCGCATATCCCACAGAAGAGAGGGATAGAGTTCCGCTCCCAAGAAGAGTCAAATAGAAGATAATCCGGTAGCCATATAACTATTATACATAATGCATAGCTATAAAAATTCATATTGTTATTCCCCTACTCTTTCCTGCTTATGGACCAACCTCAAAGCACACAATCCAGGAATGGAAGTATACAACAGCCAGGATTCCCCAGTCGAGGAGGAAGAAAAAGCTAATGCTGAGCAGAACTACATGGAGGAACTTGCTGCCAACGGTATGCTAATTCCTGTTGTGGAGACTCTATCGGATGCTATGTCTGATATGGTTCAAGAGCTTTTTGCGGGAGATGAGCAAAAGGACACAGATTCACAGGAACTCTATTCTCCTTCCATTGGCCATCATGACGACCAACATATGAACGGCGGGGAGGATTTGGAGGGTGCGGGCGACATGACGGTGAAGATTGATGAGGCCGGCAATTTGATCGCTGTCTCTCATGACATTGAGCTAGTGGAGGAGGGGTTCAAGCTTGCACTTCCTCGCAGCCAACTGGCACCTTGGTCACACAAACAAATCTGATTGGGCAAAATTTTGCAAACTATGTTACATATATATATAGTCCGCTATTTCCACCAGACCTAACTTTCCAAACGACCACACATATAGAAGATATTGCTACATATTTCTTCTATTTACCATTGAGGGATTTTCTCGCCGCTATATTTGACCCATCCTCTGAACCATTGCCTTTGTTCAAGGAAAGCAGGTCCAGTACATTCACTCCACGGCTTGGAAGGATTTGCAGCAGCAAGGCTTAGCAGATACGCCACGGATCATGGGAGTGCTGAACTGTGGGCTTTGCTACAATCGGCCTTTCAGCTCACTACTATTTAGACAGTTTTGGTTTGGATTGTGGCATTGTATTTTTATTAATTTCTTCTATTTGACTGGGTTGCAGGGGTTCTCTGCAAAGGAACGGACAATGGTTGGCACTATATCCTGGGTTCCCCAATTGTGGCCGCAGCTTCAATGCAGGGCTGCGCTCTGAGAAGAAAGCTCTACTCCAAGTTTTGATCTTTCTGTGGCAGTCCCACCAGTCAGCGCTAGGAGCTGCAGCAGAAACCGTTTCAGTTCACGAGATGCCTTTGAAGGACTACATCGAGCACTTGGTAGATGAAGAATCTGCCGCCACGTAGACTGGGAGCCTATTTGTAGATATTTGTAGAACTTGCAAGGGGTTATATATATACAAGGCATTTGTGAAATGTTTTCATGGACTCAGGAATTGGTCTTCACAATTTTGCAGGATTTCCCAGTCCCACATGCTCTAGTAATTAATTACCTTTTAAGTTCACTCTGCTCCAGCGTACAAGACGACATGCTCTTGCGCCAGTGTTTCCTGCATGTTTGCCTGCTTGAGGAATGGGTAGGCTTGGGACCCAATGCTTTAAAGCATTACCAATTACGCTGCGTTAGGAAATAGTGATGGAGCAAATGAAGTGCTTGCTACTTAGACTGGGAGCCCCAACCGAAGATCTCTGAGTGGGAGAAAGCATTTAGATCAGAGATATGTGATGATATGTGTGTATATATAATATTGTTTTTGTCTGGTCAAATCCACAATCCCACATCAAACCCTAGTGTTTGGTCTTCTACAGGATTTCCCAGCCGCTTCTCCAGCGTGCAAGACGACATGCTCTTGCGCTGGTGTTTCCTTGACGGTTAACCTGCCTGAGGATTTGGCAGGCCTGGGGTCAATGCTAACAAAGCATTACCAATTATATACAAAGAGATTGCTTGCAGTTGGAAAAACTGAGCGCAATTCAGCATAAAACAGGGAACAAGTTCAAATAGAAGATATATTACTTAATTAATTTTGTGTAAACATTCACCCACCAAATAATTAAAACCAATATCTTCTATTTGATGTTCATTTATGTTCATTTATATCTTCTAATTGACTTGTTCTGTGCGCGCTTGATGAGTCAATGGTAAGACATCCCAAAACACAAAAAAACTGCAGGTTTTTTGCAGTTTTCTACCAGTCCAGACAAACATGGTCATGTTGCAAGAGTTGCTCCCTATAAACCGACATAGGGTGCAAAAATCAAAGAATTTTCCGCCGGCTAGCCCGAGTCATGTTAGAGGCAAACAAGCAGGATTTGCTGTAAATACCAGTGAAATGTGGCTTCCAAACTCCTTCAAGAGGTTTTGACCAAGAAAGGCCAAATTTGATCTCAGGAGCTACCTCTGCGACTGTATATATCTTCTATTTGACACGTTGCCTGGGCACCCCCAACTCTGCATCTTCTATTTGAATTAATTCCCGAATATCTTCTATCTTTGAGGTAAACAGTATAACAGGCTGGACAAAGGAGATGTATCAAGTTTGGTTCAAAAGGACTTGTTTTCTGAAAATAGATTGATTTCGTAGTAGGCTGGTTGTAAAATGTGCCTACCCGTAGCCACTCGACTGTTTGCACGTTGGTCATTCGGCACGTGAGAAAGGCTCAATGACCAAATGTGAGGGTGAAGTCTTCCGGTGCTCCTAGGTCATTATATCGTGGGCTGATATTTGGAGATGGCGCTGGGTTGGACAACATGGGGTTTGCGATAGAGGGCAGCTGGAGAGGCGAAAGTGCCTTGGCCCCGTTCTAGACCTCTGGCCAGGCCAGATGCTTTTGGACTCCTGCGCCAAGCAGCACACAGAGTTGATGGGGGATAGGGCCAGAGTTCAGCCTGCTGCACTGTAAGACTGCAGCAAGACATGTTGATTCCAGCTGTGCCAGTCCTGTCGCATCAAACTTTTTATTGAATGTACATCCTTCTACTGCATATACTTTCCTAGCATGTATGCAAGTCGAGTGTTGCTACAGTGCCTGTGCAGTATTCTTTCACTCATCGGTGGTTGGAGGGCTGAAGTCCACATCATCTACTTTGGGAATCTTGCCAACAAAGAAGCTAGTAGGGGCTCCTGGCATCGCTACTAGGAACAAGAACGCTACCAGGGGCTCTTGGCCGTACTACTAGGAGCAAGGACGCAACTAGGGGCTCCTAGCATCGCTACTAGGAGCAAGAATGCTACTAGGGGCTCCTGGCCGTACTACTGGGAGCAAGGACGCAACTATAGCATCGCTACTAGGAGCAAGAACGCTGCTAGGCTCTTGGCCGTACTACTAGGAGCAAGGACGCTACTAGGGGCTCCTAGCATCGCTACTGGGAGCAAGAACGCTACTAGGAGCTCCTGGCCGTACTACTAGGAGCAAGGCAAGGACGCAACTAGGGGCTCCTAGCATCGCTACTGGAGCAAGAACGCTGCTAGGGGCTCCTGGCCGTACCACTATAGGAGCAAGGACGCTACTAGGGGGCTCCTAGCATCGCTACTAGGAGCGAGAACGCTACTAGGGGCTCCTGGCCGTACTACTAGGAGCAAACACGCAACTAGGGGCTCCTAGCATCGCTAGCAAGAATGCTACTAGGGGCTCCTGGCCGTACTACTAGGAGCAAGGCAAGGACGCAACTAGGGGCTCCTAGCATCGCTACTGGGAGCAAGAACGCTGCTAGGGGCTCCTGGCCGTACCACTAGGAGGAAGGACGCTACTAGGGGCTCCTAGCATCACTACTAGGAGCGAGAACGCTACTAGGGGCTCCTGGCCGTACTACTGGGAGCAAGGACGCTACTAGGGGGCCTCCTAGCATCGCTACTAGGAGCAAGAACGCTGCTAGGGGCTCTTGGCCGTACTACTAGGAGCAAGGACGCTACTCCTAGCATCGCTACTAGGAGCAAGAATGCTGCTAGGGGCTCCTGG